TTTTTTAGACTTAACATTGATTAAAAGAGGTAGAAAATAGATAATAACATTATTACTTTTTAGACTTAAACGGACAAGGCTGTGAAAATAACTCATTTAATATCTTTGTCCCGTGCATTGCACGGGATAAGTATTAGTGAAGGTTTTAAATGTGTGAATTTTCTTCCTACCAACCTCAATAATTTGAAGCAAGAGTTGCGGTTCAAACTTCAAACATGTTAATGAATAATGGCTTGTAATTGGTCGCCATAAACTACAAATGAAACTGGCCATACAAAATTCTATCTCCATATGTTCCATGTGATCAGTTCAAATTTATGTGGCCAGTTTCATTTGGACAAATAATGGCCATTATTGGCTCTATTTCATGCATTTCAATTGTGTTTTTAGTTTTTCTTCTTTTTTTATTTATTTATTTTGTTTTATCCAAGTTATTAATCCTGGACCCTAAGACCCGTGCCCCTAAGTGATTCAGAGAGGTAAATTGCGAGATGTGTTTGAGTGAGCAAGCCCTCGACCCCAGGAAGATAAACCGCGGGATGCACCCTAGTGAGTCCCAGATTCGAGCACCGCTTATATTCTTAGCCCAAGAAAATTCTCCTCTCTAAAATATAGCTTCCAGGAATTGAAGTTCTGCACCACTCAGCTATGCCCAGATGAGAATGTAGTGTTTTATATACTATTAGTCATATTGGTATGTCCATTAGTACGCCTGTATTACCGGTTCAACTAGTAATATTGTTGGTATTACGGAGTATCATCATATATAAATTTTAATATCATATATGAAAAAAGTAAATAAATAACTGTTTTTAGTAAGTCTCAACTTCTAAATAAGATAAAAATAAGACTACAAATGCAAGTTTTAATCTTTTAAGTCAATAATTAAATCCTCTTTTATTTTATATTAATTTTATTTATTGTGAAGTTGAAAATCACTATGGATTATGCATTTATGCCAACCGTTCAAGAACTCCAAACAGATCGATCCAACTGGTGTCAGTTGTGGTGTCGTCAGATGTGTCATGATACCTGACAGATATGATTTTTTGAAATTGTATATCTTTTTCTACCTTAACACTATTTTTTTCTGATTCTTCAAGTAAGAATTCAGATCTCCAGACAATATTAGTACTCGATCCTCGAAGATCATAAAAATGTAGAAGGATTTAAAAAAATTGTCGGAGAGATGGTGTTTTTGACGCGAACAAATGAACAAATAATAAGAAGAAGCTAAAAACAAAGAATAAGAGGCTGAGCTTCGAGATCGAAAATTTGGACAAGAAGAACGATGCATATTAAACTCCATTATAACTCAACTGAAAACATTTTGAAACATGATGATGATGACAAAGGTAAAAGAGGAACCTGAGTACTTTTATCGAACTTTTAAACACCTTAACTTCGGTAAGAGTAAATTTGATGTCCTAGCTGCATTTGAAAGTGAATCTAATAGAGTTGAACTTGAACATATATAAATTTTTTCTGTTTGTGTGTCCATCAACCAAAACAGGTGAGTCACTTTTAAAGACCACGCCTAAAATTTTATAAATTGTAAACGTTGTAGGCGTCGATGTGCAGAAATTTTATGGTGCCACATGTGATCAGGGGCGGAGCTAGGATTTAAATTCTACCCGGGCTAGAATATTGACAAAATATATTTAAGAATCACATAGAAATTATTTTTTTTGTGATAATAGTAATTATAATAAACAACCGTTCTTTTTAGATTTATTTATTTATTATTAATTAAATTTATTTATCATGACTATACATGAAATAAGTTTGAAATATTATTCTAATATAGAACAAACAATTCTTACATGTAATAAATTTTATTTTAAATAAAAAAATAAAGGGTATTTGAAAATTTAAATAAAAACTTCTATTGTATTTTTACATTTTTAGTATAAACTTTCAAATAAAACCCTAATAATATGCATGTGTTGTCATGCCATCACATGATATAAGTAAGATATATTACAGAATAAACAAATCTTACATTTAGTGGATTTCATTTTAAATAAATAAATAAAAAAAAAAGTATTTGATATACTGGTGCTACATAGGACATGATGATAATGCGTATACATTTTATATTCTTAATTACTTGGGTTACATGCTTAAACATTAAAAAAAAAAATGAATGGAAATAATGTGCTATGTAGAATTCCACCCGGGCTACAGCCCAGGTAAGCAAACACTTGGCTCTGCCCCTGCATGTGACACATGTTATGGTGTCACAACATGATGTGGCACATTATAATTGGTGCCACAACATGATGTATGATAGTTGTGGCACCAATCATAATGTGCCACATCATGTTGTGGCACCATAATATGATACCACATGTGGCACCATAAAATTTCTGCGTCGGTGTGTTTGCCATCACCGAAGGCATACACTTGGCCATATTAATTAGACCACATTGGTATAAATTGTAGTTCCACGCATGTCATAATACATAGTTTACAAGATATATACATTATACTTTTAAAATTATAAAACACTTGACTAACTAAATAATAAATACATTTAAAAAGTTACTTTCATATTTGCCATCAATTTTTTCTATATGATATGGTAAATTAATCATCTTTTGTCGAGTTTCGATTTAACATTTATATTGCTTATATAAATAAACGTACGCATTAGTTTAATTTTTTAATAAAAATTAATATATATATATATATATCAATATTAATTAGAAAATAATTATATTGATTTTCAACTAAATAAATATATTTATCAAGTTCATTATATAATATGATTTGAAAAAAATGCCATTTTAAATATAACAATTTTTTATTTTTTTTATAATTATTTGAAACATAAAATAAAAACTTCTATTTTTGTAATAAAAAAATAAGTATAACGTATGGTGATTGGGAATAATGCTCCCCTATCCACGGTGGGCACATGTTAATATGCTCGCCGTTTATTTGTCATGCACACATTGATAATGTATTTTTCTGAACATATTAATATCATCAATGTGTGCATGTCACATAAGCGGTGAACATATTTAACATGTACTCCGTGTGTAGGGGAGCATTATTCTTGGTGATTGATTTTGAAAGGGATAGAAAAAGTTTCTCTGGCTATATATATACGAGATCACAAAGAGGCAATTACACTTAAATTAAGTACCCTTTTTCAAGTTAGCCAATTAACTAGCAAGAGCTATAGTATTAGTACCTGCACGGTAATTTCTGCAATGAAACTATTTGTTCCCTTTTTCAAGTTAGCCACAAACATATATATTTTAAGCATTTCAACAAACTAGTTTATCTTGTAATTGTTGCGTAAATCTCAGAGGATCATGGAGGCAAGGAGATCGGGAAATTACGAAGCAAGCGTTTGGGATGATGACTACATTCAATCGCTCGACTCCCCATACACCGTAAGACTTATATGCATGGCATCTTACAAGAATAAAAATCAAAAGCCTTTACTTTGTGAGAAATTCGTTTTATGTATGGAAATGCAGGGGAAAGAGTGTGTAAAACAAGCTGAGAAGCTGAAAAGCCATGTGAAAGTCATCATAGACGAGACCGAAAACCAGCTGGACCGACTCGAATTCATCGATGATCTGCAACGGCTTCATATATCGAACCATTTCGAAGATCGAGTGGAGGCTATACTTAAAAACATTTATCAAACAATCGAATGCCACGAACAGTATACCAACAAGGACTTGCATGTTACAGCCCTCAAGTTTAGGCTTCTCAGACAACATGGCTATCATGTGCCCCAAGGTACAAATAATCGTTACAATAAAATATGTAATTATAAAAATAATAACACATTAGTTCTCATCGAAATCTCTTAACTGTTGTTTCAGAGGTTTTCTGTGGATTTACGGACGAGTTCGGAAATTTCAAGGGGTGTCTTGCTAGTGATGTCAAGGGCATGTTGTCTTTATACGAAGCTTCTTTTTTATCGCTCGAAGGTGAAAATTTATTGGATTCGGCTAAAGATTTCTCGACTCATCATCTTAGGGAGAGGCTGGAGGGAATTACGGACCCGATTGTAGCCGAGCAAGTGAGGCATGCTCTGGAGCTCCCACTACACTGGAGAGTGCAAAAGCTTGAAGCCAAATGGTTCATAACTGTCTATGAGAGTAAATTAGGTGCCAACCTTATTTTGCTCGAACTTGCAAAACTGGATTTCAACATGGTACAAGCCCTATATCAGCATGAGATTAAGCAACTGTCAAGGTAGAACACTTTTTTTTCTTTTTTTTTCTTTTTTTGGTTCTCTCTCAAAAGTGGTACAATAGTCTAATTATGCATATGTGTCACGTGCGACATTATTACTTTCGACGTTCAAACAATGTTTTCAGACCTGGCCCAATGACCCGGGCTGGCCTCCTGGTCACAGTCATGGCCATTTGGCGGGCCAGGTCTGGACCCGGCCAGGCCCAATGAGTCGCCGGACCTGAAAATAGGTACCCGAAACCGGTTCGGAACCCATGGGTTAAAAAAAAGAGGACCTGGAACTGGCTAGTTTGTAGCACGTGTCCGGTTCAATGACACGTGCATTCGGGCCGACTCTAGCCACGTCTACCTGGTTACCCGTTTTGGGTCACCGAGTCAACTCGAAATAATTTTAGCTATTTAAATATATATGATATTTTTTTATCCTTTATTTAACAAAAATAAATAATTCTAATGTAATTTTTTTTTATACTTAAAAGTCTTAGTAATATTGTATCTCATAATAATATATTTGGAGATGACTACAGGCTAATAATAACCACAAAATCAATTTATGAACATTACTTTGTCCAAATTTAATCAACAACCTCATATTTGATTCGTTTTTTTCTGTATATGAAACCACAAATTATTTTACATTTTGAATTAATCAACGAGAATTTCATTTTAATAAAAGCTTTTTCTTTTTC